CGAGGACAGAGGCGCAGGGAGCGGGGAGACAGAGAGGAGGGAGGTGGAGGACAGCGTGAGGGAGGGCCAGGTGGAGGCATGGAGAGGGCGGAGGCCGCGGGACGGTGCAGGGTTGGCTGGGGGATTGGTGGGGAGCGGCAACCGAACGCAGGCAGCACCAGCGCCAGCCAGCGCGCCCCGCCAGTCCGGCCCGCGCCGACGTACCTGGCTCTTGGAGTGGCACACGCCGGTACCGTCCAGATTGATGGTCACCTTGACGTTCGTTTCCTTGGTCTGCCGCTGCACGGTAGCTGTGCGCACTGCAGCTCCAAGCGGGCGGGAGAGGCGAGAGGAGAGGTTGGCGGGCAGTCTAGCGGCAGTATGCCCCACCCGCCGAGGCAGCCTGCGGACTGCGACGACAGCCCCTTGCACCTGCGAGTCGCTATGCACAATGCGCAGAGCTGGGCTCACCCGGGGCGCCGTTGGCAGACACGGCGGCCTCCGCTTCGGCCACCGCCTGCACCGGCTGCATGCTCTGCCGGCCGTCTGGCCGCCGCTGCTGCCGCGCCCCTGCTGCTGCTGCTGTGCGCCAGCGGCCGCCTGCGATGGAGCTCAGGGGAGCCCAGGGCCTGCCGGAGGTGCTAGCCGACGCAGTGCCGCGAGTGCCGGGCTGCAGGGAGAGGACGGCAGCAACGGCCATGCTCCCTCTTGACTCCACAGGGTAATCAGGCTTGAGGGATTGGGTCCCGGGGGCATCCACACTCCCTCAGGGCAGACTTGCCAGCTCGGCTAGAGCCCAAGAAAGTGGCTAAAATGCGGAGCCCAGAGGCCGTCTTGGAGGCATCTGAGCAGCGTGCCAACACCTCCACTCGGCTGCGCACTCGATCAGCTCGCTGCATGCGTTGCTAGGTGACCTACAAGTGCGACCATTGACACCCCGCGCGGGCGCAGCAGCGGCAGGCATGGAGGCTGCGGTAGCAGCAGACCTGACGGTAAAAGGCGCTCTAGCAGCAGGTAGGACATACATATGTCGCAGGGCCGCTGCATGCCGCCTGCTGCCTGCTGGTTGCCCAGCCCCTACCCACCCGCAACGATGCGATGTTGATACACAGATGCCGAAGACTTTGAGGCGGCCAGCGATGAGGAGCCCAGCAGCGGCGACGGCGACGCCAGCGGCAGCGATGGCGGGGAGCCTGAGGCCGCGAGTAGCTCTGGTGGAGAGGAGGAGGAGGAGGGCGCAGATGAGGGCAGCGAGGGCTGGAGCGGTGGGTAGCTCTCCATGGCTCAGCGGCACAGCCAATGTGGAGCAGGCTTTCGCACTGCTGCACTCTGCTTCCCCAGCCTCGCTTGGGGGCACCTTCTGCTCAGCCTGCCTCCCCTCCTGCCATTGCTGCCATTTTGTTGCAGATGATGAGCTGGAGGCCGCCCCTCCTGGCAGCGGCAGCGACGCCGAGGAGGAGGGGGAGGAGGGGAACGCGGGCGCAGGCGGCGGCGGCGGCAGCAGCGACAGCGACAGCGAGGGCGGCGGCGGCGGCCGGCAGCAGCAGCGCGATGCCGGCTTCCTGGAGGGCGGCAAGTCGGCTTCCTTTGCCAAGGCCTTTGCCATGATCCTGGAAGGCAGCGGCAAGAAGGCGGCGGAGGCCGCGAGGCCCACGGCGGCGGGGGGTGCTGCCGTGGCGCCCATCCTCGCCACCAGCAAGTCGATCGCCAAGCGCAAGGCGGAGGACGCGGAGGAGCAGCAGGCGGACCGGGAGGCCAAGAAGCTGCGGCAGGAGATGAAGAAGCGGGGGCACGTGGTGCGCTGGCGCGGGTGGTGCGGTGCAGGGCCCAAAATGCATGGCATGAGATCGCTGGAGGGCGTAGCTATCAGTTCGTTGGCTGTATGGTTGGTCCGTGTCTGGTGAACCACAGTGCAGACCGAGTGCTGCACAGGGGCAGGTGTCATGCCCACAACTGACCGCACGTCCCCGGTTCCGTGTGCGTGGCGCAGGTGCCGCGGCGGCGCGGCCAGGACCCCGCCGCCGACCAGCAGGACAAGGCGCTGGCGCGGCTGGCCACCAAGGGCGTGGTGCGCTTGTTCAACGCCATTGCCAAGGCGCAGAAGCAGCTGCGGGAGGCGGAGGAGGCGACGGGCAGCCGCGTCCAGGCGGTCAAGCTGGGCAAGGCCTCGTTCCTGGCGCAGCTCAAGCGCAGCAGCGGGGTGCGGGCGGATGGCCAGCCCGACCAGCCGCTGGTGCCGTCGGCGCCGGCGCGGCAGCAGGGCGCGGCTGCGGCCGCGGCGGCGCCCGCGGCCGGCAAGAAACAGCAGCAACAGCAGCGGCGGGCGGCGGCGGCGGCGGATAGCAGCAGCGAGGACGAGGATGCGGGAGGCTGGGATGTTCTGAAGCAGGGCTTTGTGGGCTTGCAAGGTGGGGAAGGGTTGGGGGTCGCGTGGGCACCAGCAGGACTGGGACTGTCAGGCTGCCATTGCTGTGCAGCCAGCCTTGGGTGCAGTGGAATGTCTGGAGCTTGCATACAGCCTCCATCAACGCATCTGCCGCTCTGCTGCTGGGCATGCAGGCGGCAACAAAATGAAGGATTGGGACAGGCAGGCGAGCGATGAGGAAGGGGAGGCTGGCGGCATGGGCGGCAGCAGCGACGATGAGTGACAGCTGGGTGGCAAGCTGCACCGACTCCGTCACTATGTGTAAAGTAGCAAGATTGTTGTGAAGGAGCATAGGTGGTGAGGTGGAGCGCAGCATGCTGGCACCCCTTTGACCAGCTCAGCACTATGTCCTCGTGCTCTCTTTCAACCCTCGATAGCATCCTGAGTTCATATTCTCCGATTTCAAGGGCTTTTGCTGGTCGCGCGTGCTGTCGAGGCGCCTCGCGCACCGCCCCGGTTGGCCCTCGAGTCTCCCGCTGAGCGGCAGGTGCCCGAGCGTGGTTGTAGGGAGCGTTTAGAAAGATGCCGAGCGCAGCGCGAGTGTGCAGCATACTAGGGGCCATGTTTGGTGAGCCCCGCCGGCGGGTGCTGCTGCTGCCGGTTGGCTGTCTCCGGCCACCACACCAACTCTCTGCATGCCGTCCTCCAAGCACAAGAAACAGACGCAATGAAAGCGTATGTGGCGGCATAGTGTGGCAGCGTGGGCTGCGCCACCAACCGCCGCTTGCCGCCGCCGCTGCCGCCCGCCGCTCACTATGTGCTGGCCTCGCCCTCGCCGCTGTGCAGCCTACACCGTGTTTGCCACCTCCTGGCTCAGCTGGATCATCATGCTAGGAGGCGTGGCGGGCATGCAGGCCAAGTGCGGCGGGTACCTGGGCAAGGAGGTGAACATCAGCATCGGTGGCCAGGATCTTAAGGGCTTCGCGGAGGGTTGCGATACAACCAACACCACCGCCTTTATCTGGTGAGCTGCAGCAGCTGTGCGAGAGCGCGGGTGGATGCTGTGCTCATCACCCGGCCCTTGCCCCACCCACTGCTGCAGGTGGACTGTCTGGTTCGAGTTCTTCCTCCTGGTGCTGCTGTCGGTGGCCGAGTGCGGCCGCGTCCGTGGCCTGTACCTGACGTAAGCAGCTGCCCTGGTATCTTTGACAGGCATCAATGCACTTGCCTTGCCCCTCACCCTCCCGGAGTGAGTTTGCTGCCCGCAGGAAGCAGCTGTTCATCGCCATGGTGAGCGTGTGCCTCATGCTGGCCGCCGACCGCTCCAACGTCGTCATCTCCACATATGAGGGCGCGCTGCGCACCTCGGCGCAGGCCTGCATGGCCGGCCAGGTCATCACCATCATCTGCAACCTCCTCCTGGTGAGCCCGCCTGGGCACGGCATGCAGAGGCAGGCCGCACGCCCCCTGCCTGCCCCGCTGCTCCCTGGCAGAAGCCACATCGTCCAGCACAACGCCGCCCCCCGCCCGCCTTGAACTCAACACCATGCTTGCAGCTGCTGTACTTTGGGGGCGAGATCCAAGACATGAAGCGCTCTTCCCCCGACGACGGCGGCTACGGCGGCAAGGCCGGCATGCCCCCCATGTCCCACAACATTGGCGCCGACATGCAGCTGTCGGGGTCAGTGGCGGGCCTGGGCGCGGTGTCGGGCCCCACCTTCCGCAGCGCCGCCGACCCGCCGCTGTCGGAAAACCCGTTTGCGGTGCCCGTGTGAGGTGAGCGCGAGGCGCCACCTGCGGCGGGGGCCGCCGAGGGCGCTCACACCGATGCCCGCACGCACCTCCCTCCCGCCCCCGGTGCAAGTGCAGGAGTGGCAACTACGGCGGCAACCAGTATGCGCTCGAATTCGAGAGGCTGTACCAGTCTGGCAGCGCGGCCATGGTGGCCCCGGTGGCGGCACCGGAGAGCAAGAAGGAGCAGAAGAGCAGCATCAAGGCGGCCCAGGCCCTGGCAGGAGACAGCTGGCAGGCGTGAGTGCGGCGCCCCCGCGGGCCGACAGGTGCTGGGCTGTTCAGACATGCTAGCTGCAGGTCAGCGCAGGGTGTGCTGATAGCTTGATTTTGTCAGATATGTATTCTTTAAAATTCGGCTTAGGGCTCCACAAGGCTTACTAGAGGGAGCACCGCTGTCCGCGGGCGGCTCTAGGGGCGGAGCGGCGAGACGGGCGGGACATGAGCGGCTCGAATGTGGACAGCGCCGCTTCGCGATCAAACTGCATTTTGTCCGTCACTCTCTGCCTTGCATCTCCATCCCTGTGGCGTGGGTCAAGCGCCTCTCTCCGCTGCTCTCGCCGCCGCTCGCTCACCGCCTGCTCGCCTCGCTGCCTGCCCTGCCCCTGGCTGTTGGCACCAGGAAGACGCTGCCGCCCTTGCTGCGGCAGCCGAGGCGGGCGATGGTGGATGGGCGGGTGATGGCGGCGGGAGCGGCGGTCGCCTTGGGCCTCACTTTCACGTGGCTGCGCCGGCGCCGCGCCCAGCGGTCGCCACACCACCACCAACGCCACAGCGTGCGGCTCCTGCCGCGCGGCAGGCCGCTGCCCAGCAAGCCCGGCGAGCTCAGCCTGGTCAGCTACAACATCCTGTGCGAGCGGTACGCCACCGGCCGCCGCTTCCCATACGTCTTTGCTCAGTACCTCGACCCCGACTATCGCTGGGCGCGGCTGCAAGCGGAGCTGGAGGCGTTTGGCGCCGACCTCATCGCGCTGCAGGAGGTCACCGTGGACAGGTGGGTGGATGGGTGAGGTGGCTGTCCGGCAGCTAGCGACAGGCGGTCGTGCCAGGCAGCAGCTCGGTGTGGCACCAGCACCGGCCAGCCGGCTCCTGCTGCCGTGCCGTTGCCGCCGCACCACCCACCCGCTGCCCCGTGCCCTCCCCGGTGCAGGTGGATGGAGCTCAAGGCCTTCATGGCCTCCCTGGGCTACACGGCGGTGGTGCAGGCGCGGGCGGCAGCCACCGGCAGCGACTTCATGCTCGCCCTGTTCTACCGCCAGGGCAAGCTGCGGCTGGCGTGGAGCAAGGAGCGCAGCCGGGTGCTGCTGGCGGCGCTGGAGGTCGTGGAGCCGGGCCCGGCGGAGGGGCAGGTGGGCCGGGAGGCGTCCATGCAGGCAGCGTGGCTGGGAGGCCGCCCTGGCTTCACTCCTCCTGCTTGAATCCTCCCCAGCAGCAGCCCAGCACAAGCGATTAGCCGGCGGGTTGCGGCCGGTGCCCGCCATGGCTGCTGCAAGTGTCCTGTGCAGGGGCGGGCTGTGCTGCTCGGCGTGTGTCCGACGACCACCTGCTGCCACCTGCTGCCACCTGCTGCCGCTGCAGGTAGTGTGGCTAGCCAATGTGCACCTGGAGGGCTCTCCCTACCGCCCCAACGACCGCATCAGCCAGCTGAAGCACGCGCTGCAGCGGCTGGAGGGGCACATCGGCAGCAAGGACGGTGAGAGAGCTTGGCCGCCGCGCGGCTGTCGTCGGCTGCGACTGTGGCAGCAGCACCAAAGGGGGCTGGTGGTAGCCACGTCGACCTCCCTGCTGTCGTCTGCATGCTGCCGGTGCCGCCCCCTCCCAAGGCTGCCCGTCATGTGTGCTGCTGCAGCGGCGGAGGCGGCGGACGTCATCATCTGTGGCGACTTCAATTCCCTAGATCAGGACTCGCCCTGCTGGCTGCTGCGCCGCGGCCGGCTGGAGCGCAACCACACCGACGCCTGCTGCCCGCAGGTGGGCACCATGATGAAGCGCGCGTGCCGCTGCTGCTGCTTGTGTGCTGCGGTGCCCGCCGAGCCTGAGCTGCGAGCCCTGCATGCGTGCACACAACTGTGGGCAGGCCTTTCCTGCTCTGAGCCGCCCTGTACATGCCTGCTACCCTCCCGGCTCGCCGCCCTGCAGGTGCCAACCACCAAGGAGACGATCGCGCACCCCTTTGCCCTGCACGAGGCCTATGAGTCCTCGGGATACCGCCAGCCCTTCACCCACAAGGTGGCGCAGGACCATGCCGTGCTGGACTTTATCTGGTGCAGCCGCCACATGCCTGTGGCGGCGGTCATGCGACCGCTGCAGCAGGAGCTGCGGGAGGTGGTGGGCAAGTGCTACCTGCCAAACCGGTGGCACCCCTCTGACCACCTCCCTGTCGGCGCCGTGCTCAAGCTCTCCGGCTGCTACGGCGGCGAGCAGGCAGCGCAAGGCGCGGCGACGGCGGAGGCTCCGGCCGCAGCGGACGACGCGGCGGCAGACATTTCGTCTGTCGGCGGCGGCAGCAGCACCGGCGGCAGTGACGGAGGGTCGGTGCGGTGAGGCGGCTAATGGTATGCACGCGGCGGGCACTCGTTGACACAGACAGCACCCTGTTTTTGGCATCACTGCAAGCACTGAGTTTTAACGCTTTTGCACCACACTCTATTCTTTTGTGACGCACTATCTGACCAGGGTGCTTGCCAGGAGAGGCAGTCAAGTGAGGAATCGGCAACGGGCATGGGCGGCAGAGCTGGCGGCCTGCCAGCTGGCGCGCCAAGTGCAATGCAGCGCGAGATGCAGTGGACGCCCTATCCTTCTGATCCGAAAGCTCTGTTGCTCCCTAAGCGTGCCCTGTGCTGTCGTGGGAACATTTTCGCACATGCCGCTGTGTGTTTCGATCACCCGATTGCTGCTGCTGTTGCTGCTGCTGCTGCAGCAAGCGCAGCCCGCTGTCTGCGCTCCTGACGTGTGGGATGCGTGGCCCACTTGGTGGCTGGATAACGACCGGGGTTCAGGGAACGTCTCGGTGGGAGGCGTGGAGCTGCCTTCAACAGCCATGCAGCTGATGCAGCAGGCCGGGCTGGAGGGCAATTCGCTGTACAGGTGAGTCCAGCCAGCGGCGCCCAGCTTGGGCCGGGCGGGCCGTCGGCGGTACCCCGCCTCTGCGCCCGCCTGCAGAGCAGCTGTTTGTTGCCATGCTCCCCTGCCTCCCTACTGCCTGCAGGTACAGCGAGCTGAACCAGCGCTGGGCGGCGTACGACAACTGGACCTTCTCTGTGCTCTTTGACGTGCCCCGCAAGCTGCTGCGCAACCGCGCCGTACTGCTTCACATCGATGGCCTCGACACCGGTGCGGCCTGCCAGGCTGGAGCGGGCAGCCGAGGGCAGGCAGGCAGGATCGCTCATGCAGCTGGCAGCTGCTGGCTGCGGGCTGTAGGGAGGCGGCACATCCAGGGCACCTGAAGCTGGCACGCGCCTGCCACCCGCCCGCCGCGCCGCACGCCCGCAGTGGCCGCCATCGAGCTCAACGGCGCTCCGGTGGGGCGCGCCGCCAACGCCCACCGACCCCACGCCTTTGACATCACCGACCTGCTCAAGAAGGAGAACAACAACCTTGGAATCACCATCTTCTCTGCCACGCGGTATGCGGCGGCGCAGCAGGCAGACTATCCCTACCCGGTGCCCGCCACGCAGGTAGGGAGGCTGTGGGCTGTGGCTGCCGGCTCGGCCGCTCCCTGCTGACATACACATACGTTCATCCAGCCACGGCGCATGCTCAGAGGCGGCGCTGCCCTCTGCGGACCGCTGCCCTCTGCTGATCTGCTGACCGCTGCCCTCTGCTCACTCCA